AAAATATAAAAATCTGGGTAGTATTTAAATAGTATTAATTAACAACAATATCGACTAATAAAAAGATAAGAATGAGCTTATTACATGGGGTCACCTACAATTTATAGGTGGCCGAAAAATGAAAAACTTGTTTAAATGATGGTAATAATTGATGGTAACAAATGATATTATGTGATATCTGTAATCATTAACATTCACCAAAAACTGTAGCAAGTTTCCTCGCATATTCCAGTTATGACCCATGGTTCAACGGATCCGAAGCGTTTTTTTCCTCAAAAATGTCATCCGATCGCCTCCGCACTTGACATGAACGGTCCATTATTGCTGTGTTTATGCAATCATCTATTACCGTTCAGGAATTTCGAAAAAAACTTGTTTGCATTTCAATTAAGCAACACTTGAGAGCAAATGTCGATCGAGGTTCTGGAACAGGCCGGCCTCCTGATAGATTGACTCCTACAGTAATCAATTTTAACGTCAGCTCTGTCTCGGCCATAAATCTTTCTGATAAAAATTGTGTGGGCAGTTAATTAAACTGCATTGCCTTCATCGTTTGTCAAAAATTGTTTCATCAAAGTTTGCCGTAGCTCGGAGGGCAGCTAGAGGAGTATAGCAACAGCAGTAGAGTTACGGAGTGAGCAGGCACAGAACGAAGAGTGCAGCGCTCAGACGAAAAAAACTCAATTCAGTGTAAATCTCGTTCGCAGTGCTACTGATCCGCTAAGAGAGTCAGCAGGGTAACAGCCAGCAGCGGTGGCGTCAACGTCGGCAACGGCTTTGCATTGGAAATACGATCCGACCGGCTCGACACAGGGGCCGGAAGTCGATCGTGCACGGGTGGGGGATTGTTCTGCAGGAGTTACTGCAGCAGTACCGCCACCGCCCGCAATGTCATCATAGTCTGTCACGCCCGCATACAGGGACGGACATACGGCAGTTCCAGGAAATGTTGGAACTCACCCCTATTCTGCCACCGCCACCACCTCCAGGTGGCTATCACCTGTTCACTACGACGTTCCCTTTCTTGTTCTCATCCGACTTCAGAGTCAGGCGAGGTGCTGCTTCCTTGTTTCTACAAGTGATCATAGTCTTCAACATTATCTTACTATGATTACTAGATTGAATTATTAAGTTCAACCAAAGTATACCCTTCCCACATGGAAAGAAAAGCGGCATGCTTGCTAGGATATGGCACGAAGAGACCCGTAGGGTCGGTCCTACCCCAGGCCAAGCCAGCGTAACGGCTCATAAGCCCAAAATTGTTTAGACCAATCTACTCTATATATACACAGAGTCAGGTGCACAGGCAGGAAGGCTAGACCATACCCCTCTCCCATAGACTCCATGATTGACTGCCTATTTAGCAATCACGTTTCATCTAAATTCGCATGATTCGCTGATTTTGAGTCTGATTTTAAATTGTATTGAAATATGTATAGCTTCCAAAGGAAATTCATCAAAACTGTTCGCTCGAACTAGAAGTCGAGAGAACGATGTTGTTCTTTAAGAAATTTCATGAAGGGAATTCATTCAATCAAAACTTTCACGGGGAAAAGTGATCTCATGAGCGATATAGACAAATGGATTGGCTTAATTGAATAATCATAAGCTAATGACAATAAATAAGAAAAAGTTTGTTTATGAATTTTTTACAGCGTGGCAAGTTGCATTAGCTTGATTGTATCGCTGGCAAAAAATCACATTTCTCAGCTTAAGTAAATATAAATATCAACATGTGAAATTATTAATAAGATTATTATTATTAAATAAATTAAATATAGGTCGAACAGAATATTAGATTGACTATTATTTCAGTTCATTATAAAAAACCAAGGCTTGTTGACTAGACTGACATCAGATTATTTGCTGGCACATGCTACAGAATTGTATACCTCCATTGAAATCCCTTTGCGGCATAGTGGACGATCCATCAATTGCCTGCACACAATCGCAGGTTCGATTTTTGAAACTGCTCCACCTCATTCATCACTGTGAGTTGGTGAGCGATAGGTTGAAGAGGGAAAAAGTCATCATCTGCTCCAATCCAATAACTACGAAAGCTCTACCACTTTCAGGAAACCTCTCAGAATAGGTAAACAAATAAAATAAAAATAGTTAATGAAACATGATCAGTAAAATAAGTAAATGACTGCATAAAACGATAGAGTGGATCAGTCAGGGCTTGACGTGAGATGAAGCTCAACTACATATATGGCGTCTAAAATCCTCTCCCTTTTTCAAACTACAAGCTTTATTGTATTTCTGTTATTTTTAAAAGCTCCAATAAATTTTTCAATATTGTTGTTATTCAGAGTTCATTAACTTTTGATCAGTTTATGAAATTGGAGCAAAGTACAATTGTATTCGAACCGGTTTGCTTATATTTGAAATCTTCTTAAGTGTCTGCGGAGAAAAACCAACATTTTCATCCTCTCTTTTGAGGTTCTCTATCTGAACTAGTGATAGTTTACATTCTCTTCTTAACGAACGATTCACAAGAACACATTCTATATGGCTACATAAAAAAAGGGACCAAAAACAAAATTCGATAAAATAGGTGAGCTAAAAAGTAGACTATATTACTCATTTACTTCGTAGCTATGTAGTCACGAAACCTCGCTATTATCGGTAAGCTTTGCTAAGCTGGCGAATAACTTAGATCTAATAAATTAAAACTAGTTATAAGGTGAATGGAAAAATAGTGAAAAATATGAATTAGGACTACAGGCCCGCAAACTTTTGGTGTTCTGAAGAGATTCGGGTCCAAGCTTACGACAGCCTAACACCCAGTTCCAAACCCTTTCATTCAGTAATCTAGTTGAAAGTTAATGACGAAGTAACTCTGTCAAGAACAGCCATTTAACAAAGAGAATTCTTCCAATTACGAATAACCCCTGGAAGACCAGAATATCATGGATATCATGAGGAAGATCACAACAATGCAAAGAAACATTACTTCCAAGCAAAATCCTCTGAGTCTACGGTGCATATAGAAGTATTACGTACCCTTTTAAAGTTAAAGTTTAAAGTTTTTGGCGTTAATCAATCCCGTCTGAGGGATGCGCCCCCGCACTCGACTTACATTCAGAATCGCAGTGGCGTAATGAGTGCGTATGTGGCCTATACAATGACTTGCGGTGGCCAGCCGATGTACAAGTCAGTGCTTTTATCCTCCCAGACGAGTCTGGTACCAATTTACCGACCCCGGAGGGATGGAAGGCGTGGTTGGCCTAGGCGGGCATCGATCCGGGATTCGAACCCCTGACCGTGATATAGTGCGCCACTTGCCACTACACCACCTCCGCCCGCGTACCCTTTTACCTTCTAGAAAATCTTAGCCACATTCTTATATTGTCTTCTCGTTCCGTATCACAGTGAACTATTTTCCTCCTTAAATCCTCATGGCCACCAAATTCCATCTGATACGCAAAAGAGCCACCTCTCCATGAAATTGTTATGGCCATCAAACCATATAGGTGAGTACCGGGGTAGGTCAGCTTTTTCCAGCAACTACTTTCTTACGTTTGTTATATTTACTTAAATCATTAATTCCGTCTCCAACTATGACTACCTCATTCATTTCTCTGGTATTCCACTTCATCCTACTCTCATCATCCGTGAAAGGGATAAAGGTCATAATCAGCGAGACGGGAAAGGGTCAGAACGTAGCTTCTTGGTTCAAGTTTTTACAGAATGCCTTTTTGATGACAGTAAGTGAAGAAAGCTATTGAGAATTACGTTTTCATGCGCCTGTGATAATCGTGAGCCCGCTAGTAAGTGCTGTACACTATGACGTTCAAGAAGAAGTCGCCCGCATGGATTTTCGTGCCACAAAGTGGAAATTCCAATTGTAAACGCTAAAAGAAAAGTTTTGCCGTAGTTTTCTTTACTTTCGTAGTATATACTAAAAACGGGCCAAAATAGTTAAACAATAAATCGCTTTACAGCGATGGGGAGGAATTTCTGCCAGAATATGTTCCGGTTAGATTGAACTTCTAATTTTGGACAAAAGCATCGACCAATCTAAAAAAGATTACAAACTTTCGTCTTAATATTCTGTACTGCTAGTAAATCGTTGATTCAATTGTTTACAATTAGTACTATCTACTCAGTACCTATTCTTGTTCTATGGTTCCCATTTATTATTTACACTACTTTAAAATTTCCTCATGATTCAGTCTTTCCATTTTTTCATTGCACATCAATACCTTGCAGAAATCGAGCTTGTTAACCCACAGAAGATGCATGCTTCTTCTCTTATGTACGAAAAATTGAAAGCTTTTCGCAGGGTTACGGTAACTCATAAAGTCTGAATTCAAACGCTTATTTGTCGGGGAAATTCAGAGTAGTTCTTGAACAGGTAAACATCAAACGATGTGCTCTGGAAAGTATTCGAGAGGACCAGTTATAAAAATTACTTATTTTGTTATTTATTAATGGTCTTATGATTATTCGTTCGTCTAAATCATCAGAAGTTAAAGCTACTTCAACCCATTCCGTACCGCGTGCTGCACATGGTGAAGCACGCCCCTCCGCCTCTGCGCGCCCGCATTTTCGCCCAAAATCACTCTATAGTTTTGATAAAGCTTCAACAGTCCATACTTTGCGATTCGCTCAAACAACCGCTCTGTGTGGCTGAGTGCTGCACGCCGTGAACCACGTCGCCCGCTCGATTTCGAAGGAAACGCCGGGCACATTCGGCAGCTAGCGCAAAACACTGCGGTACGCAATGGGTTAAATAAAAAAAAAAANCAAAAGTGTCAAAAAGTGAGAGAACGGAAAATAAAAAATTGATTATCACAAAAATAAACTAGTAATCGTATATCTGCTAATGTTGAATAGAATCGAAATAGACTTTATAACATAGCAATATGCTGGGCCAAATTGGGAAAATCGAAAGTGACCAAAATGACAAAGTGCAAAATCCTTGAATCGATTGAATCCCGCATCGATAACCGCTTAGGTAGAACAAGCTTTCCTTCCATTCAAAGTTCAGCTGAATGAAGATTAAATATGCGGGCTTACCCCCATTTATCAACGCCAGGGAGCTCAATCATCACTCTTGCTTTGTATTATTAAAGAAATATCAATGTGAGGGCTACCCCCTTTTTTAAAAATGTTAATGTAGAGGCTACCCCCTTTTGTCTAAAATTATAATATTTAAACTCAAAACTTCGAAAATTATCTTCATTAGGCTTGTGGACTTTGAATTGTTTACATTTGTTTCCAGAACAACAGCTCCAGCTAATGAACTCCATCAATACCATGGTGAAGAATGGCCAATTCACGAGTCAGCTGGCGAATGTGATTTTTACGCTCTGCGCTCAACTAAAAACCTCCGGCATCAATTTGGAACAAACACATCGAAGTGAGCAGAAATACCACGTCAATCAATTATCGATTTCAGTGCAAAAGATTACTGTAGGGACCGCATGATGACTCGCTTTAATGGCCTATTCAATCATGAATTTCTTCTGATATACACGGACTGGCACTGTCTCAAATGTACTCCCTGCAGTTAGAAAGAGGAATTCTACGAAAGTTCGAGACCGGAACCTTACTTTTCGAATTTCTATCCGCCCACGTTAACGACCATGGTCAAACCCCATGTCACTGGGGAAAGAGCCTGTAAGAATTGATCGGACAAGAGAGAGATCCGTGTTTGCCAACAGGTTTAGAGGGCCAAATGTCAAGAAACTGTTTGCTTTCCAGCTGTTATGTTATGTATAATCCCAGTAGACGGTTTTTTGAGTGTCTGGAAAGTGTAGGGAAAGGTCGCACTTTCGGAAAAATCCAGCCATCACCAGAGACCATTTCCGGGGTGCTGGCATAACGTTAGAAGTTGAAAAAACCATTCCTTGGAATTCTGATAGTTCCAGAAGGAATTCTTGGGGCATTCGAACTCAGATTTTCGAAAAATTGGTCCAGGAACGTCAAGGATTCTTCTATTGTCCGTAAACTTAATCTACTACTACCGGTTAGCCAAACATCCGACGAAATGATGGGACAGGATGGATTATTTGCAGAGCCAAGCCGCTCTACAAAACCGCGCAACACGTCCAGAAATGGGCGTTCCTACCAGCAGTGACCATATTAAATCTCCTTTTATGCCTCCGCAACAACTTTATGTTGCGGAAATGCCATATGCAGGTCTCCTTGGGTACCGCTTTATCTTCTCAGTAGATGGTGAAAGAAACAGTGTTCATACTTAGCTGTGTAACTAGTAAAGGCGAAGAACGCCACTGTGCATCAGATTCATTACAAACATCTGAAGCTACTACCGTAATCCTATTTATTTCCAGATGAATTGAACAAAGTGTTCGTGTCGCTACGACAAGCCTGTTGCCGTGACAATGGGCAACTGGGAACGCCATGCAGGTCAGCTAACCAATAGTAACTTATTTCCACCGTTAATTAGTTAAAAAGTCGCAATTGGAGACAGACACTCATCAAAGCCCTTCTAGTCTTTGATAAAATTCGACTGCGCTTCCCCATAGACGTTGAATTCGAACTAGTTGTAAGATAAAGCGGAAGAGATTCGGGAGCGTGATCCCATAAAGCATATTTCATTCCACGGCATAATCCGGAAGAAAAAAAGAAGGAAGTTTCATGTCCTCCACTGCCTCCTTGCTTGGGCCAAGAGACTGAAATAGCGTAATGATAACGTCGTTCCAGATTTTGAGCCCAAGTGGGAAGACAGCATGGGTCTCTTCAGTTTAGCTCAAAGCCTGGAATGAGTATGTATAGGTCGTAAACATTTCCCTCATTTTTTCTGGAATATTTGATTGACATCGGCTGCTATGGCGCTTGTCATATGGATGACTGATCTTTGAGCTTAACAACCTTTCCTTCATCCTCTTCGGTGCAGTGAAGTGTCGTTAAATGAAATGTTTTATCCGTGTCCATTATGCGCCTGTTACATTTTATTTTACGACTACTGTCACTGTAGGAGTTTTCATCCGCCTTCAATTTTTGTACGCGACCAATGACACAGTCCGTGGATCCTGTGATACAGTAGTCACTCACAGTCGGACAGAATAGACACCGTGTTAGAAATTTTGAATGGCCGTAACGTCATAAACAGACATTCAGACAATGGATTACTGAGTCCAAGAACTTCAATGTTTGACTGATCGTTTTCGCTTCTGTCGACAAGACAGATCTGCTATCACTCCCACTTTACAGCACTGAAAAATCGCGTCCACATCCATCACACGATAGTTTCCGAGGCATTTCGCTAGATCTCCTGGCTTCCGTTACAGCCATCGAAACACCAGCTGAGCAGAAAAAACTACAAGTCAAATAACTGTCTGCAAATGCGACCAAACAACATTGTTGACGCAAAATTTGCAGCTGCTATTTATATCAGCACTATACAGACACTATTTTCATGTGCAGACTGAAAATCATGGAGCTTGTCGAACTACGTGCAATGCACTGGCGGAGCAATCTGGCACATAGTCAGTACTACCTTAAACGTCCTGAACAGCGTAGGTGTTTATATTTGAGAACAAGACCGTCTCAGACAGTAGGGTAGCCCTAACTGCCGACTGTGGCGAACATTGATGGTGTTCCAGCCTAGAATTTGAAATTCCGATCACTTTCTGTTGGGGTTCCTAATGCTACGGCTGCTCCAATCAGGGATCTTTGTCAGTCCTCCCATATTTATATCCCTAATGGTAAAAAACCCTCAGATAATATCAGCCGAGTATGCCACCGATGATGTTCATGGATGGATTTCCACATTTGACCTCGTTATATTAAGCTACATAGACAGAAATTTGAGTTGCTCGAATAAATTAAAGGATGGGGAGAGGAGGGTAGAGAAAAGGGGCGGAGCAGGAGCACAATGGGCGGGATTTACGCAGGATACGGTCGGGCGTATCAGAAAAGAAATTTTTTAAGGATACCTATAGATAGATAATTATCATATTCATATAATCAACAACTAGCTCATATTTTATGCCTCTAACCTATAGTAATCATAGTTTAGTACAAATAAATAAGCCTAATCGATTTTCTCAACATTTCTAACAAATTTTGAGATTATTTTTTTACAGTCCAATACATATTTCGAATTTTTAGAACAAGAGCAACCTGTCACCCCACAGCCGATGACATTTTTGCCACAAAGTCCTCTATTCATGCCGCCCGAAACACCACCAGCGACACATCGTGGGACTGTTGCCTATTGAAAATTTCATAACCCAAAAAAAATCAATGCGTTTTTTTCAATTCAGCGACAAACGCCGGTTTTTATCTGATTCCTGCATCGGGCGGTTGGATGCCACCAATTATTCCCGGAATACCACCAAATCCATTCATACCGCAGCCATTGATGACACCTGAAGCTGTACTGATGCGTCAACGAAGCCTTACTAAAAAGGTATCCATGTTTTTTTTCCTATTTCAAGTTGCCTTTTCAAATGTAAATATAAATGATATATATTTGTAATATAATATAATATACATAGTTCAAAAAACTTAGAAAAAACGACAGTGGAGTTAAAATATATTTAATATTTCTGATATTTCACCTACGACCACGAATATGACACCTTTTTTCCAACGTTCATGCCAGTTTAGGGCTAGGACATTTTTCTTTTCAAATTTAATTTTTTTTTTTTGGAAAAGTTCCTCAAGAGAGGTTTTCGGGAAAACTATAGGACCCAAGTTGTCCATATTCAATTTCAAGCTGCATATCAAAATATTGGTAGATGCATATGCTCTAATATGTAAGTTTGTGACCAAGGTCCTACACCAACTTCCTACACCCACGTTCCTAAAGAACTTAGGGAAAAACTTGTGCTATCGACCCTAATTAACCTCCCAGACAGAATCAGTTTGAACGTAAGCCGAAAACTGGGAGTTTACTGTGCCGAGGGCTTTCTAATGAAAAGGATATGTTGAACATTTTAAAACCATTAACTATAAGATATCAATAATTTTAGCTAAATCAGGCAAAATCACTGCAGCTCCGTCATGAAATGATTATTCGAAATAGCGATTCGGGAAAGATTATGGGTGTGAAAGGACGACGTGTGGCTCTTGTGGAACAAATGACCAACACCGTAATCAGCTTCCAGAAGGTACCCATTTTGTATTCTTTCATGAATTTTCCACGGATTGGCTAGAACTTTTCATTATGGTCAAAGAAAAGCTCATGAAAATAAAATATAATGAAGTTTTTTTCGGATACTTTTGTTCCGATTTCGTAGTGCCTATGGAACATGACATTAGGTCCGTTTTCTTGTTTCATTTGAATAACGAAAAAGTTTTCGATTCTCTTAGAAAATACTCCCAAATTTTAAGAGACACGTACCTATTCTAGGTGGATCCGAAGAGCAAGGAGAGGACCTTGACAATCACAGCTTCGTCGATGGAGGACATCGAAAGAGCCAAGGACCTCATCATCGATACTATTAAAAGGAATATGAGCCCGATTAGAGTAGGCCATTCAAATTACCCAGCCCGAGAACCAGAAGATGACCTAAAGTCCCACGTCCGTTCAAAACAATGTCATGACTTCTTGCAGGCCGATGCAAATACACGCGATTCACCACACGATGCTGAAGAAGACGAAAACGATAATGACATCTCCATCGAAACCACCCAAGATGGTATGCTTAAACTCTGCTGCTCAGACCCGCAAGTGCTCCAGGTACCGTAATCATCGCTACATATGAAGGTTACGGTGATAATTCGAAGTTATTTTCATCTTTATAGGCGGCGCAAGAGGCGCTTTCTCAATACCTCCGAACTCGTACCAGACCATCAGCTGCGGATCGTGAACAACGTAAGGAACGTCGGAAGAGTATGCCGCTTCAGGCCAGCCAACCTGATGCACCAGCTAAGGTCAGCAGAAGCCTTTTGTTACCCCCAGTCTACTGATTATCTATAGGATTTTCCAAAAGAGTAGTCTAGACCTTTCTGACAAGCATACAAATTAATCGGTGCTTTCCGTACCCTTTACCTAGTGGTAGACAACAAATAAAGTAAATCACAAAAATTACGGCCTTGAACCTGCCCACATACTAACAATCAACCAAGAGAACCTATATTGCTAGCTACGTATTTTTTCGATAAGATATATTTCTTTGATAATATCTCTTTTTTTTTACATTGTCCTTATTATCCGTTACAATTATTTATTGAATTTCTTTTAGCCTCTCAGTCGCTCTTTCCACGGTTCTACGCCAAATCTAGCCGAAGCAGGTCTGGAGACTGAGAAGAAAACCACTAATTCGACACAAAACCATGAGGTCAGTGATAGTTGCAGCATCCTTGAAGGAATCGCTCCTAAACCCGCTTCTACTGAATACCAATAACTCTAATCGATATTGATCGAGGCCTACCACGCACTGGCCATTCATACTTTTATCACTAAGCTAACAGCGCCATCCGAATTTCGTCACTAGTCTTCTATATAAAAATTGATAATCCCAATCAATACTGATTGGGTTGGGGATAGGGCTTATCGAACGGTGGCGGCTCGATACCAGTCGTTGCTTGAAACTGGTTAGCCCATAAAAATTTTTCCTTAACTCCTTGAAATCAAAGCATTAGTGGATTAACAGAAAGGGCTTGTGAAGTGTTAGCCTATACCTTAAAGTTTTAAAAAAGAAAAAATTCTCCGACAACTTTGATTACGCATGTTTTTTAACTGTCTCGACTTGAGTTCATCACTACTGTGGCTTATCCTTGTAAAAACCGCTATAACCCTATCAGAAGGACCTCGAAATCATTCATTGGATTGGTTCTATTCGCATTAAGAAGGATATGATAGGGGAGATCATTTTGAGGCCTAAGGTAGTGAACATCATAGAAGTAGCTTCAATTTTTGAGGTTGCACCTTTGTCCACCTGCTTACTTTATGGAAAACACTTTCACTTCATCCTCATCAAACAATATTCCGAACAAAAAATTACCCTCAGACTATTCCATGCAATGCTTACTGGATTATAACCAAGTATGACTGGTGGCAAATTAACTGACCTGATTCGTTACGTCTTTGAGCTGGAGCATGATAGACTTGATACATGATGGGTCCCGAACTCGCTCAGAAGAAGAATCTCCCAACGTTGATCAAAGTGTCTGAATCTGTCGAAGTTATAGGGACACGGTCGAGGAATTCCAGATAACTTTATCGATATAACGATGATATAACCTAATCACGAACGGAAATTCTCAAATCTCAAAACTCAACTAACAGCGAGTACTTTTATGTAGACAACTTGTAAAAAAAAAACAAAAAAAAACTCAATAACACGCGGTTTAGTGCTCACATCTGCATGTGCAACAGAGATTATTATCGAGGTTACAGAGCAGAATATTTGAGATCACCAAATCTCTCAATATGCCCCAAAACATTAATTTCATTTCCGGGATGATTTAATCTTTTACGTTGTTTATAAGCTTTCTATACTTACTTGAAGGCCATGATTTTAAGTGTGTAGTTTGTCGACCACATTCCATTCTGACTTTCACCTCTCCTACGCCATTCCCATTCACTCGTTGTTCGCGAATCTGCCTGGGGGCTTTTGAATACCGGCTTTTTATATGGTTCCGAGACATCTAAATGCCCCTGACTACCCAAAAAGTAGGCAAACGCATGGTGCAACCGGAAGATAACTGATCAATGCAAAATATTTCACCCAGCATTTTGCTATTATTAATACCCTATCTCTTCTATTGGGCATCTGCCCAGAAAAGAAACTCTTAATTCGAAATGTTACACAGTTGCAGCGCTTTCACAGATGGGGCTTAGAAGTAGCAAAACAAAGATCAAACCTCTCCGACTCGTATTTGCCATGTGTTTATCCTGTAAGCGTTTTTTATGGGCATATTCCGAGTTACTTTAGTTGGTTTCACAGTAAAGTTACACAACAATCACTGGACATCGCTTTTACTACTCTAATAAGAGAACTAAAAATAAGAAACCAGTTAGAGTCATCAGGTAAGCTGAATGGTAGCGGCTGTTCAGATAGAATCAGGGAATATTTATACTTATCAAGTAGAAAGTAGAAAGTATGAACAATGATCTGATTATTCGGGCAACCCAGTATAGGCAGTCTATACTCAGTGGGCGAAGCTATACTTAATTAGCTGCAAGCGTCAAATTAAGTTGTAATTGCTGTTTGTGCTTCGATAAAATGCTGGTTGCTATTTATCGAAGCACAAACATAGCAGATCTATTCTGACGGCATCTTTTAACGCACCTTCTCTAAAATGTTACAAAATGACTGACTGAGCTGGGCAGAAAACATGTAAGCCAGCTATAAATGCTACAGTAAGAAAGCTGCGCTACGATAGATCTACCAGTAGTCAACTATAAACGCTACAGTAAGCCGCTAATGTTCCGTGATCTCAACCAAATAGCGGTAGCTACTAAGCTTCTCTGAGTATTAAGAAAAATATGCTGAAACAGGCAATAGGAAGAAGCATTGAACATAGAGCTGGCTCAAATTGAGCTACTTGGAGTCCAGATCAAATTTCCATTGTAGGTGTCATAGCGTAGCTATTGCGATAATAGCTATAATTACTTAATTACAATCGCCACATTCGGCTTCTAATGTCAAATATCTGGCAGTCAACACGTGCTGCCACGCCTAATGCACGAAGCAACCCCTCGCTGCAATCAATACATATGTTTCGCAGGTGTCGATCGCTGCTACGCAACTTTCCGACTATAAACACACGTCCGAAACTCTAGAAAAATGATTTCTCCAATAATCGATATCCATAAATTTCAGTCAATTGCATACGATCGTACGACACTGCTCGCGATGAGCACCAACACTGCTGCGGACGTCGACGAGGTGCGTTCGCGAGTTGCCGCCGTCGCACCGGAGATTCTACGTTGAGGGACATGGGCGTACCGACATACATACACGCGCACACATTCAAGCTGATTAGCACTAATTTATCGCCACTTACCACTCATTATCACTACTGCAGCTCCTCCTACATAGTTCATCAGCAATATCACCGCTACTGTACGTCACTTTTCATGCACTCATCACAGTCATCATCATCACCAACAACACGCTCACACATATTCGCCGGTATACATTATTATTTCCATGTCCATGTTCTGCTTTATTCGTATATATATTTAATATATTGTAATAATATGAGGTATGTGCTCTATAAGTGCCTTAATTATATATGTATTAGTCGTGCTTATTTAAAGCATAAATTTTTAGTTATCACTATATTTTTTTCTATTCTCGTGATATTAAAGAGCTCTAACTATTGCCTTGAAGCGCAAGTGAAGTAAATAAAGTCTGAATATGAATATTCTCTAATGTGAAACAATAACAATAACTACTGTAACAAAGCAACAACGAGCAAAAAAATTCTAAGCAGTCTATGAAACATAGCAACGACATCAAAGCTCGAGAGCATCTTTCGTAAAAGTACAGATCCATCAATCATACTTAGCGGGACTAGTTTTTGCCTCACGTATTAGTCTCCCTGGAAAGACGCGCGCGTATGCATCGCGTTGTGGTGACGTTACGACGGCGCCACAGTAGGCTGGCAATGATTGGCACTGTTGCGACGTCATTATCACGCGCCGCATACGCACGCCTATGAGTCTCGCCTACCGGCCAGTGGGTTTGGGTGCCTCATTCTGGTCTGAAATCCATTAAAACTGGATTGAAATATGATTCAGGAGACTGTGAGACTAGGGCATAACTGGGAAAAATGAATAGACTTGTCTATTTCGATATGGCTAATCCGAATTGAGTCCTCCTTGGATTCCCCTCTATCCTATCAGCTATCAGCGAACAAAACTCGTAGATGGCTAGGGAAAATTTAAAACGCACAGAACGCACGCAACAAGAACGGAAAACGATTCCACTTTTAGGAGCTACTGAAATTTTTCCCAGTTTGGGTTCTGAGTTGAATGGGAAATCGCGTTGTCACGCAATGTCATCCTATATAGAGAATCGGACGAAATCAATCAGTGATGAGAAAAGCTATCACAGATAAGTGAATAGGTGGCTTCTAGCTCCTATACGATGTAACATGGGCTCGTTATGGAATCGGGTGCTTTCCAAAAAAGATTGTACATAACTTAACACGATCAAAAGGGGAACAACGCGGATGTACGAATAAGAAGAGCAAGCACGCATTGTAGGTTTTCAAGAAATGTAAAGAAAAACGAAACGCTAGGCAAGACTAAATCATAAAAACGATGCAACAACAATATCAAGAAATAAAAATACAGGATTTTCAAACAAAAACACCAAATAACCTAATGGTTCCATCATCGGAACAGCTAGCTAGAAGCCATCTATCTGAATTTTCTTCACTGGACGGAGCTGGATTCCATGCCACGCAGTTGACCTGAAAGAATACACAAATTTTAGTTGAATAATATGGGGAAATATGAAAAGATGACAAGCAGCGAAAAAAAGCCCAACTAAAATATATTTAATGAGCTATCGACTAATAGTAAGTTCAAGACATGACGGCCAAGGGTTTCACTTGTAAAAGAAAGAAGTTGAAGAATAACGAAAGAGAAAAGAAATCGGTCTTGAGCCTCGCGAGACTCCTACCGTGACATTCTACTGACGGAGACAATGAAAAGAAATTAAGAATTAAAAGAAGGATACGCAAGAACATCTGATTAAATATAAATGACATTCTAAAAAGTTGTTAAGATTACATTGCTCAACAACCAGTGTTGGACCGCTTAGGAAGCAATCT